CCGTCGGCCAGCCTGTGCTGTCTCTGGACGGTTTCCGCGAGACCGGATTCCCGCGGGCGTTCCCCGCTCCTGCCTGAGGAGCAGGGGATTCTTCCCGACGCCGAACCGCGCCGGCCTCAGTCAGGGCTCGGGGTCTCCGTCGCGCGTGCTCCTGTGAGCCCGGGGCCGCCCAGAAGTTCGCTCTTTTCTGACCGCATCCCTTTGGAGTCCGCGACCCTTCCAAGTTCGGGACATCGCTGGGAGAGCTTAGTACTTCGATGTGTATATATGTTGGTTCTGGAGATTGCCGGCTTGCAAGACCTGAGGCACCGAATGCCGAGACTGGAGCAAAACTCCGGGAGTCCGGGACCCGCCCGCCTGGCTCCTTAGGCTCCGACGTTTCCAGACTCTGAACTGGATGTGGAGCGGGGTCCTCTTAACTGACAGCAGACGGACATTTTAAATTCAGCGTTTTAGCCATGGATTTTGTTCGTTTTCTTTTAATTTTACCCTAATATAAGACTTAAGTCTCACTTTCAGTCCTGGAGCGTGAACAGCCAAGAGGCTTTCACGATGCTGGGCTCAGAATTTCAGCGAGGCTCCAGGAGCTAGTCAGACAGCGAGAGTCACCCAGGAAGGAACACACCAGGCAAGTTGGCAAATAGACCTTTATTAGTCTGGCCAGACGGCACTCCCCAAGCCAAGTGGCTCAGAGAGGCGGCTAGCTCAGAAACAGAGGCCACTTTTTATGGGGCTGAAGGTGGTGGTGGGGGGCTACACTTAAAACTTACAGGAAGAGGACAAAGGCAAAGAATCAGTTGTTCTGACCTAGTGGTTATCAGGCACATACTTGAACGTCATGTACTAATGATCAGCAGATTGCTCATCCATTGTTCCATTTACAACTTAGATTATAATGTTCAGAACATTCAGATTACAGACATACAAAGAGTGACACAATCCATGTTGAGTCTCTGTGTTCACTATAGTCTCCACCCAGCCTTCCAGCTACTTCAAAACAATTACCTAACAACTTACAATTAATCATTAGTTATCCTATAAGGGATGGGGGGAGCGACAGTCTCTAGGTTGTTTGCTGGTCAACACGGAGTCGCTCTGGTTCAGTCAGGCTCTTACACTAATGACTACGACCTGGAAACAACTCCTACTCCAATGTACACGCAGATTCTAAGAAGGGAACTCAACTCTGAGAGCGAGCCCTAGATTACTGAAACCTGCGCCAAGAGGGTGGGGAAAGCCTTCAGGGCCATCCAATGGCTAGATGTTATTACCCTTCGGGCCCGCCTCCCGGGCAATCATGATTGTGATTGGAAAAATTAGAAGGAAAAATTCATTTGCCTCAACCATACCGGGCTTTGATTAGCTGCAGCTTACAGTCACTTTTCTGTGGCCCAAACATAGAGTCGCTTAGTGATAAGTCCCGCCTTAAAAGGCGTTTGATAACAGTTTTACGCATTGTAAGGTAAGCGGTGATTGGTCAGAGCGCTCACGGTTTCAGTCTGTAGTAAACACAGCCAGACTCCTGGGACAGTGGATTGGTCAGTTTTTTAAGGGGCCGAGTAAATTCCTCTAGGTTCCGTACCCGCTGGTTGCACTGACGACCGGGCCCCGCCCACCCATTTGCGGATTGGTTTTAGCTCATCAAGGAGGCGGGGGAATGAAGCGGGGTAGGCGATCCTGCATTGCGTCACTTCCGTTTACTGTCGGCGGCCGCCGCTGTGTTCCCAGAGAGCGGCGGCGAACCGGCCGGAGGAGCTGGGGACGTGAAGAGGGGTGTGCCGGGGGCGGGCAGAAGTGGGAGGAAGTCCCTTCACGGAGACGCCAGTCTGGACGTTCCCGCCTCCTCCGACACAATCAGGTCGGATCCGAGAAGGGTCACCGCCTCCTCTAGCGAGGAGAAGGGGGGCGGAGCCCGGCTCAGGTGAGGCGACCCCGTCAACTAGAGCGGTGTTGGGGCGCGCGGGCGCGCTCACGTGGAGACCGTTGAGCGCCAAGGCCGCGCCAAGACGTCAGGGCACGCGCAGACGCATAGTGGTGCCCCGGCCCCCCGCTCTCCCTGCCTGTCTTTCTGAGGGGTTATTGTTACCCTTCTGGTTAGAGGGGCCAGGCGGGTGGAAGGCGGCGGGTTCTGCGCAGGCGTCCCTAGTGTCCCGACGCCTGGCTGTCTGCGGGGTGGGGCGGAGGCTCGTGTCCCAGCCTGCAGATCCTGGCGGGAGACGTAGCTCACAAGAAATGGGAAGGAGAGGCCTCCCGTTGTACAGCCTGGCGGGATGAATGGAGAATCTGCTGCCCCGCCGGATGGAGTCGAGTGGCTCCCTTGCCCTCATCTTGGGTCTTAAGCGACGAGGTTTCATTTCATCAGTGCAAGGCCACAGGCGACCTGGATTTGGGAGTTGGCAGCAGACTGAAAGGGTGGAGTGTTTTGGAATGCCTCAACTTGTTATGAGAGGGCCAAAGTGTTTAATAGGCATTAATTGAATGCCAACTACTTCCAGGCTTCGTGCAAGGAGCTGCAGGAGATTCGGTGCTAAGAGACCGCCATCCCATCTTCTCTGTCTGTTTGCAGGACAGATTTGTGCATCCGTTCCAATAGAAGGCAGTGAATTAAGGGTGATTGAAGATTTTCCCCCTTTCTAAAATAATTTACTATTGTAAAAACTAATTCCTGAACAGAAGACGAATTTTAAATAGTTGGAGGAAAATTTGTGGGTAAATGCACAGTAAAGTCTTAATTACTAAGTAGTGTGCTCCAATTCAGGTTAATTTAAATTAATAAAATAAGCTTTTCCCCCATCAAGAATTGAAACTATTTCAAATATATGTTCATGTGTTTTTGAGTTGCAGTAAGTAGATGATTTTACATACATTTGAATCTGTAGAGGTTGAAGACAATACTGTGCCTTAACAACTGATTTGTTGTCCTTGTATGAGATGTTGTGCCTTAGATAATTTAAAAAGGTGGGCTAGGCATCTGATTGTTTTTCTGGAAAATTTGCTTTTTTATTGTCTGTGATTTCTGTGGTAAAGGCGGTTGACAGTAGGCTAGGAGAGGGAAGAGATCAGATAGGCAGAGAATAAAGAATTTTAGAGAAAAGCTTCTAAGAGGAACTATTTTTCCACCATTTTTTAAACGTTTCTGGAAATCTCAGTAAACTTGGCAAGACTGACCTGGCCAACGCAGCTAGCTTGGAATCCTGCCAGGTAAGATTAATTGGTTGAGGACCTTTTCTAAACCCTTGCATTTTATTGAATAAATGGAGCTGGAATTTTTCAAGAGTCCTGAGGTCAACTTGTTCTCTGGAGATTTGCCTTTTTTGTCCTAAAAGTTGTGTTAAAACATCACTTTTAGTTAGCTGGATTCTAGTTAACTGATGTGTCTCTCGAAAAATTCTGGGCCGGGTATTTAGCAGTGGTGCTGCTGCCTGCCTTGCAAGTGCAAGGTCCTGAGTTCAACATCCGGTACCAAAAAAAAAAAAAAAAAAGTTATTACATAGAAAAATTCTGCAAGTGATGAGAATTGTTTGAAAGCATTTTATAGTGAGGTGTTCACCTAAATTTAAGGGTCAGTACTATCAAAAGAGACTGTCACAGGACTGTCATGAGAAGAGGAAAGATTTTAAAAAATCATTTGGATAGCAATATGCCTATAAATATGCCTATAAAATGTTTTAGTATTTAAAGTTCTTAGCATTAATTATATTGTAGTGGAGACTTAAAAATATCTTGGATATTGAAAGTGACAAAACATGCCGTCATGGTGACACAGAATCTTGACTGTCTTAAATTCTCCCTGGGAAGGGAAAAAAAGAACTCTACCAGGTATGGTTTCCATGATAGCTTTCAACTTTTATTTTTTAAGTGTAAGTTAATTGAAAATACTTATCCCATCTGTTTTGAGCATATTATTTTTTATGGTATTTTATGGATATTGTCTGGTAGAACCAGTTTTTGTTAGTGTAGCAAGTGGGATGGAATGTAACCCTACACCGCACCTTTTGTCTGAGTGCCTTGAAATGGGGGGGTATTTTGAGGGAGATTTTCACATCTGCTAGACCAGCTGTTTCTGAGTGAACTATTACTCTTTACAGTTTTTTTCATCACTGAATAATGAGTTAAGTTCAAGATCCAATTTTTTGCCTTTTATTTTATTTTACATATATTTGTTAAAAAGCTTTATTTTTTTCAGCTCAAACGTTAAAAATTAAAAATTGTGGTATACTATTGAGATACAGTAGATACCAAAGATTAGTATCCAATATTATTTTATCTTTAGAAAGTTTTTTTACCTTCTAACTTATTTGAATTATGTTAAAGGCTTTAGTTTTTTTTTTTTTTGCATTTTTTTAAAGTATTTTCTTGATTCTAAAACAGATTTTGTTCACACTTTACTTTCCTGAAGACAGAATGGTATAGATAAGCTTTATGTTATACTTTAATTGGCAGCTTTTTTTTCACTTACCTGTGTCACATGAAATAATGTTTAGAATTATGGACATTTTAGATTTTATAAACTATGGTATTATTAAAAGAATTTTGTACCAAATTAATTCAGTGTAATTGTAATCAGTGAATTTTCCAAATTTGTTTTTGTATTCTTGAGAAAGTTTGTTAGTGAAAGGAACTGATTGGGAGTGAGTTTTTTTGTTGTTGTTGTTTGTTTGTTTTTTTGAGACAGGGTCTCACTTATGTAGTGAGACTGACCTAGTTCTCACTCTGTGGCCCAGGCTGGTCGGAACTCACAGTGATCCTCCTGCCTCAGCCTTCCTAGTGCTGGGATTACAGGCGTGGACCACCACACCTGGCTAGGAGTGATTTTTTTTTTTTTTTTAATCCCAGCACTCAGGAGGCTGAGGCAGCATGTGCTACACAGTGAGTTCAAGGCCAGCCTTAACTACATAGTGAGACTGTCTCAAAAATACAAAATAAATAAGAACGTTGAAAATAAGAAAATACTTGTTTTGTTTAAAGAATGAGTAAATGGTAGGTCTGGCTTTTTGAAATTATACTTGATAGGCTGTTACTTTGTGTACTTAAAAATAGGTTAATAAATGATTTATTTCCAGCTTTTTAAATTTAAAATTAGGGTGAGTTCTCTCATTTTTTCCTGTACATGTTATGGTTAACATGGTGTAACTGATTATTCAGTACATCTTAACTGGTTATAATTTAAAGTTCACTCAACCATCTTTATCTAAAAATACAAGGCTTTTTTTCACCTTTGTAGTCCTGCTATTTTAATCTCTCCTACAAAGGGACTTTGAGAAAAGAAGGTAGGGAAAAGAAAACCCACTGTTTGGGTGGGACTCATTTGTGACAGGAACCCAAAAATACTGTAAACACATCTGGAGACAAACATTGTATTTCATTTTGAATAGATGGTCAAAAGCAACTCAACAAGTTAGTCATTTGCTGAAAGTATTGATTTGATAAATGATTCAGAAGTGAAGGGATGTACTGCTTTTAAAGTAAACTTGGTATAAGATTAAATTCATTTTTTAATCTTATCTACTGGCAAGGTACCGTCATAACAGTGTCTCCAGTGCTCTGGCATGACTTTCTTAATAGGTTATTTTTTCCATTAAATAGATTTTTTGATCTGCGAGGAGTAGAAGGCAATGAAAGATTTTTTTTTTTTAATTTCTTAAAAGGTTTTAGGAAGAGCAATGGGATGGGTAGCAGGTATCTTTTTCTAAGAGAAGAAATTAGACATCTTAAACAGTATTAAAATAGACTTAGAAGCAGCTAAAAGTAGCTATTAATGGTAAGTTTATATGGACTTTTATGGGCCTCCTTCCCTCTCTCCCTCCCTGGAGATCTTCCCCTGGGCTGCGTACTAGCTAGGCAAATGCTCTACCACTCAGCTCTCCTCCTAGTCCCATACTACGTTTGGATACCTTTGTGAAAGTTGGTCTTTGAAGTCTTAATTGGCTGAAAAATGTTCTTTTGTCTAAATAGCTAGCTGGCTATTTATTCATTTATATTGTTGGAAAATATTGTACCTGAGAAGGGAAATTTCTAGGTAGTGTCTTATTTTCTCATTGCTGGGACAAAAATGTCTCACACCTTCAAGGTAAAGGTAGAAGAGGGCTGGGGATTTAGCTCAGTAGCTTTTCACCTGCCTCTTAAGCACAAGGTCCTGAGTTCGATCCCTGGTACTGGGGGAAAAAAAGGAGAAGCAAAGATTTATTTTAGCTTACAGTTTGTAGAGGTTTTCCATAGTAGGGTGGCTCCAAGGCAGGGTGGCTTGGCAGAGAGGCCTGAGGAGGCATGCTCAGGGCATGGCTGCAGGAAGCACCATGGAGGACTACAGGGATTCCTCCCAGCCCTGCCCATAGTGACCCACCTCTTTCCCCCAGGCTTCACTTCTCAATATCATACCCAGAGTAAACCCATCAGTGGACTAATCTAGTATCACACTTTCATGATCCAGTCATCTTCCCAAAGTCCCACGAGTGCATGAGGCTTTGGGGGAACATTTAGATCAGTGGTGGCGAACCTACGGCATTCATGTTATTTGTATTTCTTTTAAGACAAAAGATGTTAATGTATGAGTTGTTTTTATCAGTATTCAGGTTTAATTGTAGTATTGGCACTTTGTGACAAATGAGTTTTGGGTTGCAGTTTGGGCATTCATCTCTAAAAGGTTCGCCATAACTAATCTAGCTCTAATCCATAACAGGTAGTTGCAGTATAAGTATAAAATTCCTAACAGGATAAGGCAATGAAGCTTGCCCTAAATTATTTTGAAGTTTAAATGTAGTATATTCAAACTCTGGCATGTAACTGACTGCTTTGGCATGCTGGTCTTTTTGATAGTGAATAGATAGTGATAGATGGTGGACTAACCCTGACAGAGTTAGGAAGATCAAGCTTTTCCTCATTTTTTTTTCCTCACTGAGTTTATTGGTACATTTTAGGTATACAGTACAGTTACATTCATTATTGGGATCTTGTACCTTTACATGACAGGTCTTGGTTCTCATTTTTTCCCCTTGTCCCTGCTCTCCCTTTACCCCCTTCTTCCCTCCCCATTTACAAACACTTTATTTCCATTTTTTCATTTTCTCATATTTTTTTCTTTTCCCTTATTACCTTTCCCCTACCCTTCCCACATCTTACCTTTCCCTACATCTTTAGTCCTTTTCTTCCTGTTTCACATGGTCAATTATCTCATTAGGTCCTCTTGTTAACAGGTGAGTGTGCTGCCACACTCTCCTCCCCAAAGCTCTCATGGCTGATTTTTGTTGGTCCCTGACTATTGCTGGAGAAGAGACAGTTGCAAGGGGTAGTGAGTAGTACAATATATGTATACTGCCTCACTCTTTAATTACATCTATTGTGTAATTTTGAAGAATGAGGTACCATATGCATGAATTTTTCCATATATGTGAAGCTTACCTGTATCAGTGGTTTTCAAACTTTTTGGATTTAGGATTCCTTTACACATTTAAAAATTATTAACATTGTGCCAGGTGTGGTGGTACATGTCTCTAATCCCAACACTCAGGAATCTGAGGCAGGAGGATCGCTCTGAGTTTGAGGCCATCCTGGGCTACACAGTGAGTTCGGGGCCAGCCTGAATTATAGAATGAGACCCTGTCTCAAAACCAAAAGAAAAAAAAAGGGTATCAACATTAGCATATAAGAAATTAAAATTGAGAAATATTTAAGTATTCAGTAAAATAATAAACCTATTACACTGTTTTTATGAAACATTTCTAAGACAAAAGGAAATAATGAGAGTGGCTTTTTTTTTTTTTGTACCAGGGATCAAACTTGGATCCTTACACTTGCGAGGCAGGCGGTGGAACCACTGATCTAAATCCCTGGCCTGAGAATAGCATTTTTAGAAGATAACTTATTTTAGAACAGTTTTTAGATTTATAGAAAACTTATGATGATAATATGGAGAGTTCACAAATATCCATTCCCAGATTCCCTATTTTTTTAACATCATTACTATGGTATATTTATTATAAATAATAACCAATATTGATACATTATTGTTAAGTAAAGTCCAGTCTTTATTCAAATATTCTTAGTTTTTACTTAATGTCTTCTTTTTTTTCTGTTTCAGGAGCCTGTCTCAAATAGTGTGTTATTTAGTCATCATTAACTCTTTAAGTTCTTGGCTATGACAATTTTTCATACCTTCCTTGTTTTTAATGATTTTGATAGAGTATTGCCAAGGTGTGTTATAA